TAGGTAGGTAGGTAGGTAGGTTAGGCAAGCGGGGATTAGGTAGATGGATAGGCAGATGCCTGCCATGCGCGATGACTGCTGCAACGAATCACACTCACCACATCTCAGAGCCTGAACTTGAAACTGCTTGAGGGATCATGCGATGTCGTAAGCAAGTCCCATTTGGGGCTATCCCATTTGCAACTACACTTAACCTTACAAAGTCCAGGGATCCTGTGGGACTGAGCTTCCGGCAGCACCATCCGCAGAGGCTGAAAGCCGTAGCAGAGCCCAGCCAGCGTCAGAGAGATGCCGACGCCCTCCCAGCTGAACGCCAGGGAGCCTCTCGGTATTCAGAGAGGGTTGAAACTGGTAAAATGATGAGGGTTATTATAAGTGAGGGTTACTGCAAAGGATGCTATAACGGCTGCTATCCGTACGAGGGCTTCAAGTAGAGTAACTAGAGTAACTCCAACAGTCCCAATTGCTCCTGAGGTGAACCACGGCTCTCGACAGCGCGGTCCAGACAAGTTGCTTGAGCACCCGCAGCCCTGCAGCATACCAACCTTACACTCCGAAATACGTAGAGATTTAAAAGTCCAGTGATTCCAGCGCAGCCAAGCTAAACAACCTTGCCTGGATAAACCAGGACCTCCAACCATCCCAGCGATAAAGACTGTGCTTGCCGCGTCAGGTAGACCTCGGACACGACAGAAAGTTTAAGCCAAAGCACCAGCTGCCTAAAGAAGTCCATCCAAGGCATCTAGCTTGGAAGACTTGCTTATGGCACGTTCATGCACGGGCTCCACAGGCGAGGCACCCTCATCGAAAATTCATCGAGGTCAGCTGCAAGGTATGGGATGGAGCCAGGGGGCAACGGAAACACTCACACTACGATGTAGCAGAACATTTTAACGCTATGGTAAGTATGCGATAATATCGCCACTCAAGTAAGCAAGCCCTGCCTCTTATACTGTTGACTGTGAACGTTCAAATCGGAAGCTCGTGCAGGAACCGTGGCGCCTGTCTGTCTGCGATATAAAACCGGTGGAACTCAGGGGAACGAAGTACACAAGCTACACATGGCGGTTTCCGAAAATAGGGGACTCTAAGCTAGTACCCAAACTAGTAGGATCCTTATTATAAGGACCCCAAAATACGGTACCCCTTATTTTCGGAAACTCCGAAACTCCCATCTATACAGGGATTGCAAGGAGGCCTTTTAGTTGCTCGGAACCCTCAAGACATTCGGGTGGTTGTCAAAATTATGGTCCCTTTTTGGGTCCTTATTATAATACGGCACCTATTAATTAGGGTACCCCAAAAGGTACCATAATTTTGACAACTACCCATGTCCAAAATACCCCTTAATTAAGGAATATACCTTAAATCTTATTAGGGATCCTACTATAATTTAAGGTATATTCCGTAATTAAAGGGTATTGGAGTCTCTGGGGACATTCGACAGAGCATCGTCGAGGTCCAGCAGCCGCGACAAGCCAGCCATGGCGCAGAGAAAGGACAGCGTGGCAGAGTGAAAAGTACTTCCGGAATCTAACCAGAGGGGTTTCCGAAAATAGGGGACCCTTATTTATGTAGCACCCCCAAATAGTTTGTAGGATCCTTGTTTATAAGGACCCCCAAAAGTACTTCCGGAATGTTAATATTGCCTTTTACAGCAGCGACTTCCATGTATTGCAGTACGCAGCTGCCAGATACTCTAGGCAGCTTGCCTGGAATATCTTGAGCTGGGGGTCGGAAACAACATATCCAGGTTCCTTCATGACAAGCAAGATCTGCATCAGCCTTTTTCTGGAAGGGTGGGAGTCTGCGAAGCTAGGGCATGCAGAGATAAAGACGAAGACTCAGATGTGTTCTGTGGCTGTGCCTGAAGCTGGAGCCAAAAGAATGCATGCAGTGAAACGAACCTCTCTCTTGCAGGAACGAATCAATATGGGAGTTTCCAAAAATGGGGGACCTACTATGGTACCCTAAATAATAGGATCCTTATTATAAGGATCCCAAAATAAGGTACCCTAATTGTCGGAAACTCCCATATGCTCCCAGCTCCAGTCAAGAGTTTCTGCGATGTAGACGGATCAGAGTTGTTAGCAGGCATGGCCAGGACCGGAACCACAAGATCCACAAAGCTTCTGCTATACTGTCTGGTGCTGAGTAGGGAATGTGGGAATGGATCCCTATGATAGTCCTTTAAGGTCCCTTATAGCAGTCCCTTTAAACCATTCTCCCATTCCCCACTAAGCACCAGACAGTATAAGCAGCTGCTGAGTTGGAGTTCTCGCGACACTGAGAACCACTGACACACTGGCATTTCACGTCCTCGTCCTCATCGTCGGAAGCAGCGTCCAATCTCGCCAGTGATGCCATCACCTCGCATTCAGCAGTCCCGACAGGACCTGTTTAGGGCTCCTGATTATGATTTCCTTCTTATATAATAGGTCCTTACAGGTCAGTACAGTATCCCTTAATTAAGAGCGCTAGGATGCACGAAGGATGCACGAAGGCCCGATCCGCGACTCCTCCCGGCGCCTTCTCCAGGTGACGCTTCTCCTCGTCAGACACCTCTTCCCAGAGCCCCGGAGGATCCAGAAAGTAGATCCCTTAATGGGGTTCCTATGAAGAGCCCTTTAGTAGTATAGGGTCCCAAATTAGGGGTTCTACTTTCTAGATCCTCCCGAGGGTCTGGGTTTCATGCGCAAAACTTTCCTCTCTGGGGGGCCCCTTGGTTTCGGGCTGCGCCGCAACCCCCCCGAGTACTCTCGCATCCTAAACCCTAAACCCTGATCCCCTAGCATGTCCTCGAGTAGACTCTCCTGCACAAAAGGGCTCCCCTAAACACGGAGAGAGACGGAGACGGAGGGTTCAGTGCCTTGTGGCTGCGGAGCTCCTCCTCGACCTGCCCCAGGAAGCATTTCAGCAGACCCTAAACCCTAAACCCTAAACGGTTTAGGTTTTTTTTTTAAAGTGTAGTGTTTGGTGTTTAGGGTTTAGGGTTCAAAGATGCTGAAAAGCGGAGAGGCCTTGCTTGGACCAAGGAGTTTCGCCCTTTTTTTGCAGCTTCGGTGACAACGTGGCTTGGCTCTTGATGATCTTTGGGGTTCTGTAGCTAAGTCATTGAGTTTTCTGAGACCTCGCCGCCGTGCTACCCAGAGAGGGCCTTCTGTGAAGCATTATTACAGCCCTTTGCCAGGACAAGCGCAGAACATGAGCATCGGCCTGAGACTTGTAGAAGCTCTCCGTGCATTTGCTGCCATGTGCCTGGCACGGGATGCATCATCTTGATGATGGTCTGGGCGCCATCATGCCAATCAAACTGCGAATTGGGAGCACGTCTAGACTTGGAAGCAGAACAGAAGCAGTTCGGCATGCAAAGAAGAGCAGTCAGAGCCCTTCTGGAGAGTGCAGCCGGGCCTGGTAGCAGTCGAGGCTGCAGTAGGCTGCTTGGCACCGTGGGCAGGTGTAGCGCGCCTCATGGCACGGCTTTCGATGCAGGAGATTTTTTGGGGAGGACTGGCTGATGCCTTCTAACCTGGGACTTTAGGCATCGGTGATGGGGTTTCTTTCTGAGAATGAAGAACTTGCAGCTGCATTCGCGGACTTGACAACTGGTGGCCTCTGCACGGATGCAGACGCTGCACACCGGCCGCATTGCCAGCAGGAAAATCTAGGCTCCACTGCAACGCCAGACTCTCAAAATGGCCTTGATCAACAAGGGTGACACCTAGCTTGCATTGGTCGAGATCTTCGGGGTGGTGCGTCGACAAGTTCAAAAGCTTCAGGTTCAGTGGTTATCAGGGATGCGCTGCTCTGGACAGGTATTTCTGACTGAGTTGCTTCGGCTGGCATCTGTTCAAAAGAGCTGATTACGTATAACTTTGATGTGCCGGTGAGCCTGACAAAGCCTTCACCATGGGCAGCGGAGTCGCGGAAAGCATGCAGTCCACAATGCCTGACACGTAGCAGGGCTGTCCGCCAGGCTCCGATCCTACAGAGAGGCACGTGGATTCCAGAAGGTGACCTCGAGAATCCATCCTTCAACTTGCCCGGACAACTTCTTTCCTTCCTGCGTGCGTCCGCAACTGTTTACCTCCACGGGTCACAAAGCCATGCCGCGAAACGCAGCTGTCTTTTCGAAGCTTCAAGGAGTTATTGTAGTTACGAAGCTTGAAGGTCTATGAGCAAGCCGTACTCGATAGAACCTTAGATCTGGACCCTGTGCTGTGAGTTCTCGAGGTTGCAGGAAGTTTCTGCATCCTCGTGGCTCTCACTTCCATCGGTCCTGCACAGACTGTCTGGTGCTTAGTAGGGAAGGGGGAATGGTTTATAGGGACTACTATAAGGGACCTTAAGGGACCATCATAGGGATCCATTCCCCCATTCCCTACTAAGCACCACACAGCAGAGGTCAAGCACCCTCCAAGTCTCCAAGATCGCCCCAGAAGGGCTTCATCCCAAATGACTCGGGCCGTTCTGGAAAAGCTGGCATTGCCCAGGAATGGGGGGCGTTTATGGCGTCAGAATCCGTGACGGTTCAAGCCGATGTGAAGGCAGCCAGCAGTAATTATTAGGCTTTCTTCGACTCGAAGTGGCTTCGGCTGTCGTGGACAAAATCCCTCAAGCCCAAACCTTCAACCCGAATTTGTGAGGCTTCTTAACCCTAAACCCTAAACCCCAAATCCTAAACCCCTAAACCCTAAGTCTTAAGGAAGGAAGACAGGTCCAGTCTTTTTTTCTCCGAGGGGCCTACAGACTGGTTTTGGGATCCATGTACTGAGGTAAAGAGGATCGGACACCGGAGCAAAACCTGAAAATTTCGGGAATCGAAGCCATCTTTATGATAACAAAAGGGCCTCAATAATTAGAGAACAGGGTGGTGAGGCCCATTTTCTATAATTATGGTAAGGAACCCCTTTTCGCATCCCTGGTCATGACCGTTAGAGTAGCCCAAAAATCGTTCAGGTCTCCTGAAGCGCTTCTCATCTTTATATAACCCTTTTCGTATTCCTCGTAATGACCCTTAGAGTAGCCTAAACTTTATCGTTCGGGGGTGTCCTGAAGCGCTTTCCTTTGGGCGAGGAAGGAGGCCACGGCCCAAACCACGAAGACCAGGCCGACCTGAGCGGCCCATGAAATGATTCTAACTTGTACGGGTAGGGTTTAGGGTTTAAGGTTTAGGGTTTAGGGGTTTAGGGTTTAGGGTTTTAGGGGTTTAGGGGTTTAGGGTTTAGGGGTTTAGGGCCCGAAGGGTTCATATAAAGGGTTGTGTAAGGGTTCCCCTAAAGGCTTCTGTAGAGGTTCCTTTTAGAACAGTTCCCTTAAAGTATAGGAGTTGTAAGGCTTCATAAGAGGGTGTGATAAAGGCTTGGGTATTCGGGCTTGCGGCCCAACGGTTCGGGTTAGAGGTAGCTTCTGGTTTCGGGATTTGTGTTTTTAACCCCCCAAATTTTCTGAGTGATCATCTGGGGAAGGGCTATGAGGGATAAGGAGTTTTCAGACTTTAGAGTTGAGGCATTGGGGCTTGGTGCTTGGGATCAAAGTCCATCATCACCTCAGCAAGCAGTGAAAGACCCCTAATTACCTCGGCACAGGTCCCAGATCCCTGTCGCATACGGGGGTTTCCGAAAATAAGGGACCCTTAATTATAGTACCTTAAATAGTAGGGCCCTTATTATAAGGACCCCAACATAAGGTACTCCTTATTATCGGGAACTCCCATACCACTCCCGGGCTGCGCGCTGAACCGTAGAGCAGCAAGTAGTTGAAGCCAGGGCCTTAATGGGTCTGCTGACGGCGCGGAATTTGGGTAGTTCTCTAAATCAGGGTCCCTTTTAGGGTCCTTTTTATATGGGGTGCCATACTATATTGGGACTCTAATTTAGAGCACTACCCATGTGTGGTTCCATGGACGGGGCTCATGCGACTACCTTAGCGTCTACTTATACTTGTTGGAAGCAGTCTCGCACGCTACCCAGAGACTCCAATATCCCTTAATTAAGGAATATACCTTAAATTAGAACCCTAATAAAATTTAAGGTATATTCCTTAATTAAGGGATATTGGAGTCTCTGGGTATTCGTGGAATCTCCAGGCACCTCCTCTACCGCTGTTTAGAGCACGGCTCAACACGTCGTAGCCCTTGGCGGACTGCACCGGGATGAAGAACAGATCCAGGCCGTGCGCAAAAACCTGGCCCAGGAAAACCATGATCTAAGGGCTTTAGGAGGGACCCTTAATATATTATGCTATAACTATAATAAGCGACCCCTATAATAGTATTGGTAAGTCTTTAGCTCCCTAAATTTTACTTGGAGGATCATGGGACTTAGTAGATAAGGGTTACAAGTCCTTTAATTAGGGTTATAAGTGTAGTTACCTTAGTTATAACCCTACTTACAAAGTCCCATGATCCTTTAAGTAGAGCAAGGTGCCATGCGTTGGGAAATATTTCTTTCTCTCTTTTTGTGGGGAAGAGCGTTAAGGCTGTTGTCGGTCAGCACTCTGAAGACGGCCGAAGGTACTCCAACAACTTCCACAAGGACAGGCCAGCCGTGCCAAGGACGTTGACCTGGCAGTTGCTGCAAATATATTAATATTTGAATTTTAATTTCTAAAATGAAATATTTAAAATATTAAAGATAAATTTTTGATATGGAGATTATATATAGGCTGAGGACTCAGAGCCCACAGGACTCGCAGGACGCAGCGCTTTTGACACTCCACTCTGCGGTTCCCTCTGCCCTCCAATCTCAATTCTTCCTAAACCCTAGAAGTTTAGGGTTTAGGGTTTAGGGTTCTTTTGCTATCCCAAGAGGCCCCTAAACGAAACCCTAAAAGAGCCCCCTTTCAGAGATCCCATGCCAGGGCGGACTCCAAGGCCGTAGGTGAGGAGGCGATGCCCGTGACCCGGCTCAGTCCCTCAAGGCCCGCAGCCAGGCAAGCTTCGTAGAGTTCAGGGTTGTTTAGGGTTTAGGGTTTAGGGTTTCAGGGTTGTTTAGGATTTATACAGGGTGTTTTAGGGTTCTACACATAATATAGGGGGAAAATTATTTTTCCCCTATAATATGTTTGGTTGTTTAGGATTTAGGGTGGTTTAGGGTTCAGGGTCGTTTTTGGGGTTTGGGGTTTTGTTTACCCTAAACCCTAAACCCTAAACCCTAAAACCCTAAACCCTAAACCCTGAAACCCTAAACCCTAACAGATCAAACTAGCTCGCAGCAGGGCTGTGAGGTCACGACGGCAAATTTGGCCTTGTCGGGTTACATGGGGGTTTCCGAAAATAAAGGGTACCTTATTTGGGGGGTCCTTATAATGAGGATCCTACTATTTAGGGTACTATATTAGGGTCCCCTGTTTTCGGAAACCCCCACACGGTACGTTTGTACGTCATTGTAGGCCACAGCACAGGAAAAGGCAAAGGAGGCTCGCTTTCTAGTGCCGTCATAGTTAGTGACGTAGCAAGCCTTACATTGTCCTGGAAACCTACTGCAGGGGTCCAAGATGTGGATCGACGCCCTGAGGCCACGGCTTGGTAGTAGTTCAGCATCTCGGTCTGCCTCAATGGCACCATGGGGTTGTAGGGCGGCAGCGGCTCGTCCTGCGTTCAGCCGCAGCTTTCAGAGCTCAAAGGAGCTGTAACGTCAAACTGGACCTAATTGCAGGAGAGTCAATCCAGTGCATTATAATTTATAATTTTCCAGACGTTCGTTTGCTTTCAAACGGAGCTTGGACGAAGATAGAAGAAAGGAAAATGCAGGAGACGAGGGCAAGTAGGCAACATTTCCCGCGTGAAGGTGCGGATAGGACTGCCTCTTTATAGACCAACAAGACAGGACTCACATAAGAGTAATCACAATAATCATCAGAAGACTGTTACTACAAATGCTAGTAATCGTCGTAATCATTTTTGATAAAAGAAGGTACTAATCATCCTTTCACACACCCGGGGCTTCGAAGATGCCAAATGCCACGCCTCAACTCCCGGAGTCCTTCGAAGGTGCAAACTGCGAAGGGACTTTGGCTTTGGCCGCTGGCGCATTCGTCGGGTAAGGCCTGGCGAGCGGGAGAAATGCGAATGTGAGGTTCTGTCGTTCTGGACATTCGGTAGCTCTCTAAATTAGGGTCCCTTTTTAGGTCCCCAATATAGCAGGGCACCCTTATAAAAAGGACGCGAAAAAGGGACCCTATTTTAGAGAACTACGCGCATAGAAAACTGGAAAGCTTCGAGGCTTGGAGCAAGGAGGCCTTGCATTTTGCGTCTATGAGATCTCATAATGCAGCATCAGCCCAACGATCTCGCTTGATGGAATGCCACTCTCAAAATCAGTTCCAGCACGAAGCAACCTGCCGTCAAACAGAGGTTCAAACACATCGCCCCGCACCGCCCCATGTGTGTACAAGCTTTCAACGCCTGCAGTTTCGGAATGCTCCCTTTCGCTCTGCCTGCGTGGGTTCAGCATATCCTTGGAGACTCGGGTCAGATGGTCCGTGGTCAGTGCCATGAGGATCGACCGCGGCGTGATGCCCTGGCGCCAGATGGGGGTTTCCGAAAATAGGGGACCCTAATATAGTACCCTAATTAATAGGATCCCTATTATAAGGACCCCAAAATAAGGTACCCTAATTTTCTGAAACTCCCAGATAAAGACTTACACTTCCAGCAGAAGTCCTCTTAAGCACGTGCTCGGTCTTGGTGATTCATTCCGTCAGACCCATTTCTGGTTGGACTGTAGTGTTAGTATCTACTGCCGGGTCAGGAGACTTGTCATGACTGGACATGAAGCTTGTGCGCGCCCTTCTCTCTATTCGGCACCCTGAACCGTAAACCTTCAACCCTAAACCGAAGTAAGCAGCACCGAAGCCAAATGCCGAACTTGGCATCACAGGGCATCGCGGCCTTCAGCGTGGCCGTCACGCCCATGGCCGAGATGCCCGCAGGCATGATGTATGTCTGCTGAAGAGGAACCTTTAGGGTTTAGGGTTTAGGGCGGAGCTGGACAACTCCTCTTTTTGAAACTTTCCGGAATGCAGCTTCTAGGAGCAAACAGGGTGAGAACTCGGGGCAGGCTCCCAAAAAAGGGTTCTGGGATATATTATACTCTAACTATAATAAGCAACCCCTATAATGGTATTGGTAAGCCTTTAGCTGGGTAGTTTTCTAAATTACGGCACCTTATAAAAAGGACCCTAAAAAAGGACCCTAATTTAGAAAACTACCCAGCTCCCTGAAACTGAATGTATCACGACGCACTCTCGATCGAAGATCTCCCGGCCCGAGCAGGATCTTAGGCCCGGGCAGGTCGCTCGAGGTGGTGGGCACTTCGCACCGCCGCGCCCTGGTTTAGGGGTCTTAGGGGTTTTAGGGGTTTTAGGGGTTTAGACGTTTTAGGGGTTTAGGGTCTTAGGGGTCTTAGGGCTCTTAAGGGTTTGGGGGTTTAGGGGTTTAGGGGTTTTAGGGGCTTAGGGCTTTTAGGGGTCTTAGGGGTTTAGGGGTTTTAGGGTTCCGGAGTCGGTTTTCGTTCTCAGTGCTTGCCGGGGGGCTCCACTTTTGAGAGCAGACTGGGAGCCCGGAGCATCTGAAGTCTACAAATTCCTATTCGTCTCACATATATATATATATATAGATGTGTATATATACGTATATATCTGGAGAGAGAGAGAGAGAGAGTGAGAGAGTGAGAGTGGGAGAGAGAGAGAGAGAGGAGAGATGGACACACCTGTCTTGATTGCGTCGCCACCTCTCTTGCGCCTGATGCGCTTAGACCAAACGGCTTGCTGCGGGGCCCGTGGCAAAACTCCGCAGATCCTTCGAGCAACAAGCAAAAGCAAGCATCACTCGGCCTTCTTTCCGAAAAGAATATCCCAGGGCCCATCATCGGCCTGGCAACAGTAACAGTGCAGGGCTCTTCAGCATCCGCTAGGAGGCCAGGGTCCAAATCAAGACAGCATGAATGTGCACCCGCGGGGGCTATAACGAAAGGTTCCGGAAGGCTAGATATTGCCGTGTGGGGTGCGATGTTTGAAGCCGCGCTTGCAGCACCAGGAACTAGTGCTTTCCGCACGGGATCGTTTTTAACAACCGCCATGTTGACAGTCATGATGAAAGGCCCCATGGCCTTGAATACTTCCAACCTCTCATCCATTGCCGTGTGATAAGGACATGTGTCTAAAGCCACACGAACGCCTCGATATGTTTCGGGATCCTACTGACATTGTGGCTGCGGCTAGAGCCGGTTGCAGCTGTTTTTCGAGCTTGGCTCGAAGATCCGCACACCGCCCGTCTTTTTTAACTAGAAGGCACAGAAAAGCCTATGCTACGACAACACAACGGAGGCTAGGCTGACCACTGCTGCTGTTTGGGAGCTTCCGAAAATAAGGGGTACCTTATTTTGGGGTCCTTATAATAAGGATCCTACTATTTAGGGTACTAGATTAGGGTCCCCTATTTTCAGAAACCCCCATTTCTGCTGCTGCTGCTGCTGCTGCTGCTGCTGCTGCTGTCATTCCTCTTGTTTCACTGCTGTCTTGCTGTGATGATGAACTCATGGTTTTGCCGTTGCTTGCTCGGTTGGACCTGTTTCACCTCTCATACGCTAGCGAGTATGGGAAGTACTTGGGGGCATGCAGCAAGAGCCTTTTGACTGAGGAGTTGAAGAACATCTCCAAGATTACCAGCCAAGTGCATGTACGCAAATCCTTGGATCAAGGAGATGGCGTCGCTCGCCAAAACATGCACATAGAGGAGCTTTGGAATCTTGCAGATGGCATCTCCCTGTATGCTCCACTTCGAGCGGCAGATTCCGGAAACACGGTGTCAACTCTTAGCAAGTGAGCTGAACGTCTTGCCCCCTTCGAAAATTTGCTTCCAGCCTTGTTCTGGAAAAGTTCGGTCACCAGGATCTCAAATCGTGTCCTTGGCCACTGCGCTTGAGCCGGAAGAAGCTTACAGCAAGGCATTCACTACTATCAATTATTCGACCACTGTACTACTACAGGGGCCTTCATAATTAGACCCCTACATTACCAGAACAGACTCGAGGAGATGCTCAGAGAGCCCAATACCCCTTAACCAAGGAATAGACCTTCAACCATAATAGTAAGGCCCCCTATACTTTAAGGTCTATTCCTTAATTAAGGGGTATTTTTTGCTCTATGGGTGCCCCCACGCATTCCTGGACGCTGAGATGCTCTGACCTTTGACAGCCAAGCTGCTTCTTGGGATTCCGGTAGTGCATCGCGACCCAGTTGTCGCATGCCTTGGAGTCCCAGAAGAGCATAATGTAGGGCCCTTAATAATTAGAATAGGGTTTTGGGGTACACTATAGAATGCTTACCGTATAACTGCAATAGGGAGCCCTAAGGAAGACTGTTGGTCAGTACTATATTATCGCACTCCGTCGCAAAGCCGGGAGCTCTGCATTGAGCTCGATGGTCTCCGGTGACTACACGGAAGTCTCCACGGACCAGGTGTTGCAGCACTATGGACTGTAATGTAGACTCCTTAGCACGACTTCCTCGTCATTGGTAGGTTTACTATTTTGATGTGTATAAACCAAGCGACTTTCGCACTCTGGCACATTGAGTGCGAGGCAATCAGGTGCACCGGCGACGCTCCACCGGCCACTTGGCCTGGATTTTGGGCTTCCGGGTGGGGGATATCGGGTCCGGCTTCGGAGGCCGAAGACAGCAAGCGCGCCCCCGTACGAAAAAGCGCTTTGAGCCGTAGGCTCTGATGAATCAGATGGCCCGTGACGGCATCCAAAATGTAGAGGTTCAGTCCGAGCTTGTCCTGAAGGAAAAAACACATCGTTTTCTTTGCGTGAACCCTGTGTGGTCAACATGATCTCACACATGTCGACCAGTGAGGACAGTCGCGAGGCTCGACACTTTGTGGGACCTCCTCTCCATAAAATGAAGAGTCAAAGCACCCTACAGGCATCCTTAAGAAGGTTGGGTGCTCCTAAGTCTTAACCGGTGTGGTGCCCAATACGGAACCCATGCAACAGGACTCAGATTTCGGAAGCACAGCACATTCAGCACATCTCCTAACTACGAGCCAGCCTACGCAAAGAAAGCCCGGCTTGGGGCGTCCTCTGACGCCACGGAGAGCATGTTCGGGTTGATGTACTTGTAGAGGATGCTGGCATCCTGTTGCAGTCGGCTCTCTCATAGACTTCAAGCTAATGCGAGATGCTCTGTAGACTCTACAGATATGGGTTCCTGGCGATTCCTCGCCTCACTACGACCCTCCTAGCCGACTCGGTGGCGGACCCCTTTGATGTGCACCGGGACGTGATCCCACTGCTTGTGCTGCGGAGTGGCCTGGGTCCAGCTCTCTCTCTGGAGCTTTCGTATCGGAAATAGTCACGTGATGCCGACTTGGGCTCAAAGGTCTAGGTGCGGAGTGTTAACCTCATGCGATTCCACGGCAGGTTTGCAATTTCGAAAGGCTTGCCATTGAAAGCATCCTTCACGTACTTCGGCTGAAACTGAGGCGTCAACAGCTGTCAGAATTGTTTCGCCAAGAGATCCCAGCCTGAGCCGCAAGGATCCATCTCCAAAAAGTGTGACTTCATCCGCAGGCCTCCGCAAATTTTCTGTCCAGTCATACAATGAACACAGGAGCTCTGCGGTTTGAAAGCACCGAGGTCTCGTCTTGCAACCCAGTGCGAGCCATAAACATTGATGGGTTCCGATTACTGAGGCTCCTAGTGGCCTGCAGATCGTCACGCCCGGACAAGGGACCTTGCATGGTTAGGTTGGGCAAGCCTTAAACACCATCTGCCATGAACGCTGCAGCGGATGACAAGAACCGTGTAACATCTGATCCATGTCAGAGTCGGTTCGGTCATCATCCATACTCTCGTCTTCATCATTCTGCAAAGCACCATCCTCATCCTCATCCTCATCATCCTCATCCTCCTCGTGGTCATCGTGCGCCTGCTCCTTGTCTTCCGTCCTCGTCCTCCTCATCACCATCGTCATCACCAACATCATCATGTTACTTCGCCGACATGCTTCATCATCCGTATCATCTGCGACATCGTCATCATCTTCTTTGCTGTCCTCCTCCTCAGCAACACCAGACTCCGCCTCACTGCCGTCTGTGTTGTGAGGTGCTCATCTTTGCGGGGATCCTACAGCATCATCTTCCTCATAGCGATGTTCAGAGAGAGCCCAATACGCCTTGCCTAGGGAATATACCCTAATCTATAGGGACCTTAATATCATGGTTCAAGGTATGCTCCTTAATTAAGGGGTATTGGGCTCTCTGGGTGTTCGGCCCAATGAGCCTGAAGATCCTCATTACAAACCGTTCAGATCCGGTTGCGCCCCAGGGCTGACGCTCCATGTTCCAGATGGGGACGAGCTTGTCCGGCCTACCGGCGTGCGGCAATTGCTTTAGGAGTTATCTAGGGCTGTAGTTTCGTTTTTTTTTTTGAGGTGTAGTGGTGCGGACTTACAGTTTCGGGTTCAGGTTTTGGGGATTGAACCAGGGTTGAGGTTATGCGCCTGCAAGGTGGCAAGCTGGACAGCTCAGTAGAGCGCCGAAGTGTCTACTCCCGAACATGCGCAGACAGCAAGGCCCATCAAAGTTCATTAGAAGGATTGACATCGACAGGCCTCTTTTCGCCGAGATTTGGCACTGCAAAGCCTTGGATCACCTGTTCACAGGCAGGCAAGCAGATCGGATCGACGTGCCAAAACACCGCATAGAAGTGTTTCACAGAGTCTTATAGAATGGCCAAGTCTGTAGCCTGAACTCTCAACGGTTACTTAGCCATATCTAAAACAACAGCAAACCAAAACCTTGATCATGCAAGCTTTGCACGACCAGGCTGCCTGGTTGGTGGTGTCCACTTCGTAATGGTAGAGGCTACCCGCAGATTCCTGCACAGACTCTTGGGTTTAGGGTTCAAGCGTTCAGGGTTTATCGTTGAAGGGCTTCAGGTTGAGGGCCTGAGGGTTTAGGGCTTAGGGGTTTGAGGGTTTAGGGTTCAGAGTCTACGAGGCTCGCTTGCCTTCAAGGCTGACGCAGCTCTTTCCCCGATCCCCTATGGGGGATTTTCCGAAAAGTAGGGGACCCTAAAAAAGTACCTTAAAATAGTAGGATCCTTTTTAGAAGGACCCCAAAATAAGGTGCCCCCTAATTTTTGGAAACTCCCCATTTTGGGACGCCTGGAGCTCCTGCGCGTTCTTCGGCAGGGTATGGAGCCCCCCGGAGCCTCCAAAAGAGAAGTCTGGTGCTTAGCAGGGAATGGGGGAATGGAGTATAGGGACTACTATAAGGGATCTTAAGGGTTTAGGGTTTAGGGTTTAGGGTTTAGGGACTACTATAAGGGACCTTAAGGGACTATCATAGGGATCCATTCCCCCATTCCCTACTAGGCACCAGACAGAAGAGAAGTCTCGGGGACGGGCAGGGGGCGACCCTTCCTGGCCTTCTGGGGGCTTTTCTTTTTTCTGGCGGAGCTCTGGTGCACTGGATCTCCCTTCTGCATAGCAAAGAAGGGTAATTTAGGGTTTAGGGTTTGGGGTTTTGGGTTTTAAAAAGACTCCAGGCACAAAGAATAGGATGAAGAGTAATTTAGGGTTTAGGGTTTAGGGTTTAAAAAGCCTCCAGGCACAAAGAATAGGATGCCATGTTCTGCGCGCAAGACTGGGCTGCGGGCTGTCGATAAGCATCAGCGGATGAAGTCGGAGAGTCTTGCCTTCCCGGTCTGAGTTCCATAGCTTGCCTGCTTTATTCATCCTGATGCCCTAGCTCCAACCCAGAGACTCCAATATCCCTGAATTAAGGAATATACCTTAACTTATAATAGGAACCCTAATAAGATTTCAGGTGCATTCCTCAATTAAAGGGTTTTGGAGTCTCTGGGTTAAGAGTTACCTACATTATTTTGGGGGGTTCCTTGTTATAATTATAGTATAATCCTTTATTAAATGGTACGTCTTCTCCGGAAAGCCGAGGTTGTTTCAGCGTGGGACAAGCAGGTTTAGGAGCGAAGTCCGGGTTCGCCTGCTGCGATCTCTACCATTGCCATTTAAGGGAGTTCCCGAAAAAGAAGGGGTACCTTATTTTGGGGTCCTTCTAATAAGGATCCTATTATTTTGAGGTACTATTTTAGGGTCCCTTATTTTCGGAAACTGCTATTTGTCGGAAGTATCGCCTGCAGGTATCTTAGCAGCGACAACTCCTTTCAACTCGGGAAATACGGCCGTTATGAGCTCAGAACTTCCTGAGGAGAGTGTCGGCACAGCTATCGGCGTAATCATTAGACGCTGCTACGATAATCAAACCCTCATGCAGAACAGCTGTCGAGTCGACTTGCCAGCCAGACAAACTCAATAAGGACCCCCAACAAAATCAGCACACACACACACACACATCCTTTTGCATTGCTGCAACCGACTATCCCACCCACACACTTCATCACGCCTTTGTGGGGCAGTGCCGTCACTGCCTCGGCCAAAAAGTACCCAGAGACTCCAAAACCCCTTAATTAAGGAATACACCTTAAATCATATTAGGGATCCCAATATAATTTAAAGTATATTCCTTAATGAAGGGGTTTTGGAGTCTCTGCGTACCCAAGCAAGGACACCCTGCGCACATCCCAGTGAAGCTCGGATTGATGCATTGCAGCAGCTTACAGACCACATGGGTAGTTGTCTAAATTAGGGTCCCCTTTATAAGTCCCCAATATAGTTCGGCACCCTTACAGAAAGGACCCTAAAAGGGACCCTAATTTAGAGAACTACTCACATACATTCCACAAAGATTCCAGTGTCTGCAGCTGACATTTTGACACTTCCACGACTGGTGCGACTGCTGCTTGAGCTCTGCTAGTCGAGTCAAGCTGCAGTGATGTCGGCATCTGGCATTGATTCTTGGTGAAGCACTTCACCTGACATGGCTCATCTGTTACGACGATGAAAGCCACTCTTAGTGGTACAGGGCAGGTTCAGGTTCTGCAACTGCTTAGGCAGCAAGTCTTGCAAATCTTCCTGCCTGTCAGGGGTTCCAGCCACAGCACTTGCTGCGACTTCCCTCGGCGTGGCGCGATGACCTCAGATAATTACCAATACTATTTGGGGGGTTCCTCAGTATAGTTATAGTATAGTATACTCCAAAACATTTTTATAGATACACCCCCCAAAACCCTACTATAAGGATTCGACCCAACACCAAAGATCTCTTCGACAAGACTCGTGAGGCCCTGGGAGCCCACCAGTCGCAGACATGACTGGAAGGAGCCCTAAACGAAGCCACTGACGCAGCTCTTTCCCCGATTATATGGAGGGTTTCCGAGAATAGGCGACTACCCCCAAATGGCAGGGTCCTTATAAGGGCTTAGGGTTTAGGGTTTAGGTCTAGGACATTATCAGGTGGGTAGTTACCGTTATAGGAGCCCTATAGAAGGTCTCTATACCTTATGGAAGCCTTATAGAAGCCCTATATACCCTAAACTCTTTACCTGTAGTTTCCTTTAAACTCTACCCGAATAGGGGACTACCCCCAAATAGTAGGGTCCTTATCATAAGGAGCCCAAAATAAGGTACCCCTCACCGTAGGAAGCCCCCACTTTGAGCTTCGGACCACGAGCTCTGCGTGGGGCGAGGCACTCGAGGGCAGGAGCCTTGGCCCAAAGCGGGTCGGACTTTGACTTATGGACGCTATGTAGCCTGG